TCCCGGATCTGGGCCGCGCCCCCGCAGCGCCCGCGTCGCCCCCAGTCCCCAACGAGGGCGGCGAGGCCGCCAACGCTGCCGCTGGGGCCGAGGAACCTGCGGTTCCTGAGGAGGCGGTGGTGGACGATATCCCAGAGGCCCCAGAGGCACCGAGTCTGGAGGATGATCATGATGATGAAGAGGCTCATGCGGCCCATGAGGATGGTGAGGCTGAGGGTGAGTCTGAGCCTGCCGCAGCTGCGGGTTGGGCTGTGAAGGCGGCTAAGTCGAAGAGCAAGGCGAAGCCGCCACCCTCCTCCGCTGCGGCTCCGACGTCTCCCGGCCAGCAGCAGACGGAGCCACCCTCGCCGTGCGCGCCGAGCAGCCTGGGAAGCCCGGGCCCGAGCGCCGCATCCTCGGCCCAGAGCGCCTTCCAGACCGTGGACGCCAGTTCAGAGAACAAGGGCGGCATGCAGGTCACGACGGTGACCGTCGCCACCACCGTCAAGAAAAGGAACGCCGATGATGATGCGGGCCATCCTGGGGCTTCCTCCTCCGGGCTGCAGCGCAAGAGTCAGCGGAGCCGTTTCGCAGCTGCCTTTAACATGTGACGTGGCGGCAGGTTGCGCCTGACAAATTTTGACATTAGTTTTGCACGCGCGCGATATCGCCAGTGCAGGTGCTGTGTATCGCTTGGTATTTCATCCAAGGTCTCTCCCATTCCTCCATCAGGTCCTCCATGCATCACAAAGAGTTCCGATGTCCCACATGTTTCCATCTCTAAGCTGCCGCGCCTGCTGCTGTCTCACTCGGCCCTTCGAAGCCTTGGAGTGTACATGCATCATCGCCGCGCGGTCTATCAACAACTCGGCTCATCTCATCAGCTCCCTCTTTAATTCGACAGCCTACCTTTTGCAGGCGACAGTAAGCAGGCGGCCAGAAGCGGCGAGGCTTGGATGTGACAGCACTACGTACCCTCGTTTAATGCAACATGCGGTTTCGTTGTGGCTTCAGAGGCGCCGCCAGCAACCAGCAACGCACGGTTGAGATGAGCGAATGAGAGCGAGATTGCCACACTCAATCATCATCATCGACATCTATCCTCAAACATCACAACATCGCAACACCCAAGACCATGCATAATAAGAAAGAGGGTGAGTCGAGGAGGGAGGGGGAGCAGAGGAGGAGAGGCAGAGTAACATATTCGCCGAATGATAAAGCAAAACAAGCAAACCAAGGAATGAAACTCTTGGAGCTCCGCCCTGCGTCAGCACCTCTCGGTCTTAGTTCGAGGATACTAATAGTAGAGGACCCTTGGCCTTCGCAAGGATTCCCTGGGCGCCTCTGGATTCCAAGACTCTGCGACCCAACTTTCGGACCTTCGGAACTTCTGTTGGTTGTAGATAAGAAGGGGAAGGATGAAGGAGAGCCCCTTAGGGCCGTAGGGCGGCATGCATGAGGCTGAATCCCCAATCCCAATTGAAAGGCGCCGAGGGGACTCAACGAGAATGAGTTGTCCCGGGGTACACGGGCCCTCTTGCTGGAGGGATTCACGCAAATCCTTAGGCCTCCTCCTATCAGCGCTCCCACCTCCTCCGCTCCGGGCCCTACTTCGCCCACCCGCCCCCGCAGCCCATTTGGCGCAGCTGCGTTCTTGCAGTGATACGAGGTGCACCGAGGGCGCCTCTGACTTTACGACGCCGGCTCTACGACGTACCACAGCCGCTGCAACCATGCCCAAGGCCCCGAAGCGGCAGCATGCTCAGCATGAGGATGAGTCGAGAGCCATGGCAATGTTGGAAGCGGAGGGCATGCCTGAATCTCCTTGGGCCAACGATGTCATTCGCAAGCCTTCTGGCGTACTCCGCAGCGCCTAGGACTGGGCCCTAGGAAAATATCTGCGATATGCTAGGCTATGCAGCAGACTATGCTATGCGCTGCAATGCGCAAGCGGTAATAGCATGCAGATGTTGCTGCAAAACGGGCGGCGGGCGGATCTCCATCCACGAAAGGTTCCCAGGTCTGCACGGCATCATGCTTCAACGAAAGATTCGTAACACATACTACTTGGAGGAAGGGCTCTGGTCGCCATGGTTTGCAGAGGATGGGTCGAAGATGTTCTCCCGCCACCCCAAGAATGACCGCGCCGAAGCTGATACCAGGAGGATGCACAAGGAATCCGTGCTCAGAGAGGGCCTGAGTCAAGGCATCAACGGCGATGTGATCGCTGTCCCGACGAGCTATGGGTCCGACAGGAAGTTCATGCTCATGAGTTTTGCCACGCGGATGGAGGCGGTCTATGATGCATACGAGGAGGATCCGACGAATCCCATGGTCCAAGAGACGATCCGTTGCGGCGTGAAGAACATCGTCGTGGTGGACAAGCGCAGCCCAGACGACATCTTGAGGGCGCTGAAGGAGGGGAACAATAAATGGAACAAAATCGGTTCGGAGATGAGCTACCTGGAGCGCTACCACATGATTAACCAAGTCGAGCAGAAGTGGAAGGCATACTGCAAGAAGAGGAAGTTCGACGAAGAGGGTGATGATGAAGATGCCGCCGCTGCTGAGATAGACGACTCGGATGGAGACGGAGTCGGGGATGCCAGCTACGAGAAGAGGTACACCGAGTTTCTGGACGCACACTTCAAGGACCAGTTTTCGTCCTTCAACCAGTTCTGTGAGTGCAAGCGCGTCGTCCGCAGATTGTCTGCGCCAAGCCTCGGCGGGTTGCACCAGCAGTACGAGGAGTACGCGAACGCGCACTGCCAGTTCAGCAACAAGGAGTTGAACCAAGGTTTAGTGACGCACGCAAACGATCAGATCTGCAAGAAGATGAAGAAGTTCTTGGTCGCAGAGATGGCGCCCTACCTGAAGATTCTTTTATCCATGGCCCTTCCGACCAACGACTTCGTGCCATGGGTATTCAAGACCAGGCCGAGCATGTCAAAGCTGTCCAATTTGCTGCAGGTTATGAGAGAGTCGAAAGTGTTCCAGCTTTCGAAGGTTGCGCAGGCAGTGGAGCCCGGCGGCCGCGGCCGCGGCAAGAGCAAGGCGAAGGCGAAGGCGAAGGCGTCGGCGAGGGCAAAGCCTGAGAGCATGACCGCAACAACGCTTTTCATCAACGACGTCCACAACGCCATCGCCTACACTCTCCAAGGTGTTCCCGTACATGGACATTATATTCGAACCCTGTGGCCCAAGATGCCCCCCCGAACCCCCGAATTTAATATTGATGGCGTGGCGACGGGGGGGGCGTGAGTGGACAGAAATATTCGAACCCCAAAGCACCGCCTTTGCTGAGATCAACATTGATGTCGGGGGCGCGGGGGTGATTCAGAATCTCCCTCGAATGTGTGAGGGTTCGAATATATTGTCCATCTACTGTCCATGGCAAGGTTTGTGTAGTTCTGCACATTGCTCAAAGCGACCCTCATAAATCCAAGATCCCATGACTTGGGGGAGAAGGTGGAGGAGGAAGCGAAGGATGAGGAGGATAAGGATCAGGATGAGGAGGAAGAGGAGGATGGGGATGAGGATGAGGATGCGGAGGACCAGGAACAGTAGTGAGAGACAGGAGGAATGAGAAGGATGAGGATGGGAGGTGGTGGGGAGGAGGATCAAGCGGTGGAGCGTGGAGGATTTCTAAGCAGGTGCGGGAGGAGTGAATCAGAGGAGGCAGGGACGAAGAGGCGATGGGAGGGGAAGAGAGGGCATGGGGAGGAGGGGAGGGGAGGGGAAGGGAACGGGGAGGGGAGGGGATCGGAGGGGGCCGAAAGAGGGATGGAAGGAGACGGTCCTGTGAAGGGCTGCCTTGGGCCGTCCTGGAGGCCTCGGAGGCCCCATGGATTGCCGGAGCTGCGGGAAGTTCGATTTTGCCTGCCCAGGGTTACATGTTGCTGTCGTCCCACCGCCCACAACAGACATCGGGTGCATTATCGAAAGCTGGAGACGGTCCTGTGGAGGGCTGCCTTGAGCCATCCTGAGGCCTCCGAGGCCCCATCGTTCCCCAGGCTGCGAAAGGGTCGGTTTATTCCTACCCAGGGTGATATAGTCAGCGCATACACATGATTGCGATTTTTTCTCTGCACATGCTGTTCCTTCGTTCGCCGTCCTTGGGTCCTGGGTTACCACGCTCCCTTCATCGTCGCCATGGCAGATGGATAGGCGCTTGCTCGTGATATTGATGGGGGCGTTGTCTGGTAGGCTTTCAGGAAAGCAGCTGGCGAGGCAGCCAACAAGGCAGCCAACGAAGCAGCCTACGAGGCACCCAGCGAGGCGGCCAACGAGGCCTCCGACGAGGCAGCCCGCGGGGCAGCCAAAAAAACAGCCGTCGAGGCAACTGGCGAAGCAGCCAGCGAGGCGGCCAACGAGGTAGCCCACGAGGCACGAGGCAGCCAACGAGGTAGCCCACGAGGCAGCCAGCCAGGCAGCGAGGCGGTCGACAGGGCAGCCAGCAAGGCAACCAACGAGGCCACCGACACAGCACCCGGCAAGGCAACCAACGAGGCAGCCAACGAGACAACCAACGAGGCAGCCAACGAGACAACCAACGAGGCAGCCAACGAGACAACCAACGAGGCAGCCAACGAGACAGCCAACAAAGCAGCCAACGAGGCAGCCATCGAGGCAGCCAGCAAGGCAGCCAACAGGCAGCCGAGCAGGCAGGCCACCAGGAACCAGGCAGCCAACGATACAGCCACAGGGCAGCCGACGAAGCAGCAGCGAGGGGGGATCCCAAAATGGATCCCCCTTGCGCACCTGCGCGCGCATGTCGCGCAGATCTAGACCATTTTCACGGACAGAAGCCACCCGAACCTATGGCGCTACTAATGGAAAAAAGGGCATCCGAGATATAGGATGCCCTCGCTCACTGGACTGCATCCATTTTCAGGATGCCCCCGTTGGAAGGATGACCGCAGCGCTTTCTGGACCGAGCGCATTTGGCCCGTCGTTGTCTCCACAGCCGGAGAATGTCGCCGAAATCCTTCACTCATGTATCTGCCGACGAGCACGTCGCAATGCGCCGCTTGCATGACAGCGGCATGGGCGTCAAGAGGATCGCCGCGGCCTTGAGCCGCTCCACGGACACCGTCTCGAAGCATTTGTTCAAAAAGAACACGACCAAGAAGTCCAAGGGCCGCCCGAAGCATTCCATCCGCACCCCCAAAGGGTTTCTCGCTGCCCAGCGCGCTTACAAGAAGCTTCTGAAGTCCTCGGGCGGCACAAAGGAAGTGACGGCAGCCATGCTGAAGTCCGAGATGAAGTTGAAATGCGACATCAAGACAGTGCGCCGCGCGTTTGCTGAGAATGGCTACCAGTTCCGCCCGCTGTACGAGAAGCCTGACCTTTGTGATGGGGACAAGAAGGAGCGCCTGCAGTGGGCCCGCGAGCACAAGCACCGGAGCCCCAGCCAGTGGTCACAGTACGTCCACGCGTGCATGGACAACAAGGTGTTCCAGGTGCTGCCCAATGCGAAGTACAGGAAGGTGGCGGCAAAGCGCAAGGTTCGCGGGGTGTACAGGAAGCGCAAGCGGGACTTCTCCGTGGGCCACGTCAAGCCGAGCAACCCTAAGGTTCTCGGGCTGGCGCAAATCGGAGACCGCGCCGCGGCCACTCAGCGCCAGGCCAGTGGCCGACGGCGCGCTCTGATTTGGCTCGCCCCCAGGTTCTGAAGCAGAGTTCGGGCAAGGGCTCCGTGACCATCGCGTGCGCCATCGGCGCGGGCAAGGTGTTGATGTGGCACCAGGTGGTCGGCAGGTGGAACGCCGCAGCCGCGGGGCGAATGTACTCGGGGGCGCTCCAGCCCGCTTTGAAGAGGGCCTACCCTTCCGTGCGCGGCAAGTTCCGCGTCATGGAAGACAACGACCCCACGGGCTACAAATCTCGCTCGGGCATGGCGGCGAAGAAGTCCGCTGGCATCCAGACGTTGGACTTGCCGAAGCGGTCCCCTGATCTGATGCCGCTTGATTTCGCCTTCTGGGCCAATCTGAACAAGCGCATGAGGGGGCAGGAGAAGGACTGGCCCGCGAGCAAGACGGAGACGCGGGCGCAGTACCTGGCCCGGCTGCGCCGCACGGCGTTGGCGACGCCTTCTGAGTACATCCACAGCATCATGGGCAGCCTGCACAAGCGCTGCGGCTTGTTGGTCGAGGCGAAGGGCGGCCACTTCGCCGAGGGCGGTGGGAACTGAGCGCGCGCGCGGTTTCGTCGGGCGGCCGCGGCGCGATTCGCGGCGGGCCAGGGCGGCGGGCGACCGCGGCGCAGACCGCAGCGGGCCGGGGCGGCGGGCGGCCCGTAGCGGCCCGCGCCTCGGTTGACCCGCGCGAGCGACGTGGGGCGCGGGAAGGGAGCCAGTCGCGGTCCACGATCAAGACCAATCCGTGCGTCCACCGCCCTTGCGGCTACAGGGCCAGCAGACGTAGTCGAAAGTACTTGATCTTGGCATTATGATTCTGTCCGCCGAGGCCCCCCAGGCGCCAGCGCCCTGGCGGCCCCAGAGAGCCCCTCGCACGAGACATGCAGCAAAAAACATAGTGAACCAACAGTGAACCAACAGTGAACCAACAGTGAACCAACAGTGAACCTTCGTAAAAACCATAGTGAACCTCGAATTCTATTAAAAAAGAGTAGGGAACTTCTTTTTTAATAAAAATTGAGGTTCACTATGTAATTTGCAATGGTTCACTGTTGGTTCACTGTTGGTTCACTGATGGTTCACTGTAGGTTCAGTATGGTTTTTATGCATGTTTGCACATGTCCAACAATGCCGCGCGAGCGGCATCCATGGACAGGATCCGCCGACCCCGCCCAGAGGTGCAGGGGGCGCGCCAGGCGCGCCAAGTGCGCCGCGTGCGACAGGTGCGCGGCACGCGACAGGTGGGCCACACGCGCCAGGTGAACGGGGCGCGCCCAAGTGCGACAGGTGCGCAGACGACGCCAGGTGCAACGAGCTCCCCAACTGAGCAGCCAGGCGGCGGTTTACGATGCCCCCGAAGACCCCGACGGTCCGCATTGCGTTTTTCTCTGTAGCCTGTCGGCTCAGCGGGGCGGGGGCTGGCCCTGGCCGGGTCGCGCGGGGGGATGGCGCTCTCGGTGGACAGGCCAGAGAAGCGCCGCAGGCTCGTGGGGAAGCAGAGCCAGCAGACGGCGCTCCTCGAGCACGTCGTCGGCGAGGAGAACAGGAACGCCTCGCGGGAGGTCTACTTGGTGACTCTGCCGCACACGGACAAGGAGGGTCTCAGAGCGCCAGCGGCTTTCTCGCGGGAGGAGGTCCGCGACGCTTTCCTGGATTGCTGCGGCGCTCCGGACGCCGACCCCGCGTGGCTCGCAAGCCACCGCGGGCAGGGGGCCGCGCCCGTCGGGGTCAAGAAGCTGGTGGTATTCAAAGAATATCACGCGCCAGTGGCAGGCGTCCGGCGGGCGCACTACCACGTGGCCTTGCACCTGGGCAAGAAGAGCAAGTTCCTGACCGTGAAGCGGGCCTTGCTCAACAGGTACCAACTCGCCTCTCACTGGTCCTGCAGCCACGACGGGCACTGGTCGGCCGTCGGGTACTGCGCGAACGCGACGCCCAAGAAGCCGCGGAGCGCCCTGGACGTTGACTACTTGGCTTGGCCCGCGGACCACCCGCCGCTGTCCGCGGCGAAGAGGGAGCCGACGACCGCCCGCGCTTTGGAGAAGCGCAGGACCGCGCGGGAGCAGGTCGAGGGCGAGAAGGGGAAGCCAGAGCCTCGCGTCGAGGAAGTGGACCTGTGGCCGATAGTGGTCAGGTCTGGGATCCGGAATACTCCGGACGACCCCCACGCAGTGCGCAAGTTGATGGCATACGCTAAGACGTCCTGCTCGCACAAGGTGGTTGCCTGGATGTTCAAGAACGAGCACGTGCTGGAGAAGATCATCGACAAGGCCTGGGCGTGGGAGAACGTGGACAGCTTCCTCGAAGACGCGACGAAACCCGTCATGCAACAGTTCAAGGAGGCCTTGCGGACGCCTTGCGTTTGCGGCGGCCGCTGGTTGCACCACGTCCGCGAAAGCCTGTCGATGAATCGCATCGACGTCCCCGACCTGTGCAGCAGCATCTTGATGTCCCTGAAGCACGGTCGGTCCGAGGCGGCCCCGGTGGTCACCTTGGCTGGGCGCTTCGGCGGAGAGGGGAAGTCTCTTCTCTTCTCGGCGGTTCGGCCGCTGTTCGGCGGTGAGCACGTGCAGGAGAGGCCAGGCGGGGGGCAGTTTTGCCTCCACGGCTTGGACAAGGCCAAGGCCGCGGTGCTGGACGAGTGGATGTTCATCGATGAGGACCTCCCCCTGTCCATCCAGCTCCTGTGGCTGGAGGGCAAGCCCGTGCCCATCACCATGCCCCAGAACCAGCACGTCGGGCACAAGGTGTACATGGGGTCCGCCCCGATTTTTGTCACCTGCCCCGAGACGGCGCTGGCGGGCCTCTCGTCCGAGTCGTCGCAGCGCCCGCAGGGGCAGGCTGGCATGCTGCTCCGGCGGCTGAAACTGTATTTATTCACTGTGCCGATTCCCAAGCCGCCGGCCCCGAAGCTAGTGCCGTGCCCGCGCTGTTTCTCGACCCTCGTCACAAGCGAGGCTCTTAAGTTCAAGCCCAAGTAGTCCTGCCGCGTGCGATTGGGGTCGCTGCGCGCAGACATCATCACCATCATCGCCATCATCACTGTCGCCATTATCGTCGTTGCCACACCTCGTTGCCCCATCGGGAACTCCACGGAAGGCCCCGATGGCTGACTCCGCATGCCGCGCCCCGACAATTTCGGCAGACCCCTAGAGCGTTGCACGACCGCCACGGGCACGTCGTGCTTCTGGCCCGGCACGACTCCGACCATCACCGTCGACGATGCCAGTGCTGTCGCCTCTGGGCCCGTCCGTCAGTCCGCGTGGAGCCTCTTTGGGGAGCCCCCGTGGATCTTCGCAAGGCCCCCCTGGAGGCCCTCTCGGGCGAGGTCTACGACAGAGGCCCCCCGCTGCATTCCGTTAAATTCCATTCATTCCCAACTCCTCCGCAGGCCCCCCACTCCTTCCCAGTCCTCGCCACTCCCCTGCAGTCGTCCGCACCCCACCGCACTCCGCCAACACAAATTCCGAAACCTCTCATTCCTCCACGCCCCTCCGCACTATTCCCAACTGCTCCACGCCCTTCCGCACTCCACCCGAAACCTCCGCAACCGCCCCACTCCCCCCCACCCCTCCGCACTCCTCCCGAACCTTCCGCAACCGACCCATTCCCCCAGACCCCTCCGCAATCTTCCCAGAAACTCCGCAATCCTGCCATTCTTCTCACCCCTCCGCACTCTTCCCGAACATCCGCAACTCTCCCATTCCTCCACACCCCGCCGCATTCTTCCCAAAACCTCCGCAAGTCTCCCATTCCCCCACATTCCTCCGCACTCCTCCCGAAACCTCCGGAGCCCTTCGAATTCGTTCCGCCCCTCCGCACTCCTCCCGAACATCCGCGATCCGTCCCATTCCCCCCCACCCTGCGCACTCCTCCCAAACCTTCCGCAACCGTCCCAGTCCTCCACACCCCTCCGAACTCTTCCCGAAACCTCCGCAATCCTGCCAGTCTCTCCGCCCCTCCGCACTTTTCCCGAACATCCGCAACTCTACCATCTCTCCACATCCCTCCGCACTCCTCCCAAAACCTCCGCAACCCTCCCATTCCCCCACATCCCTCCGCACTCCTCCCGAAACCTCCGCAACCCTTTTATCATTCCACATCCCTCTGCACTCCTCCCAGACACCCGCACCTCCCCCATTCCTCCAGGCCCCTCCGCACTCCTCCCGAAACCTCCACAACCGTCCAATTCCTCCACATCCGTCCGCACTCCCCCCGAAACCTCCGGAGCCCGTCCATGTCTCCACACTCCCCCGCACTCCTCCCGGGACATCCGCACATATCCGCACCTCCCCCATTCCTCCACACCCCTCCGCACTCCTCCCGAAACTTCCGCAACCCTCCCATGCCTCCACATCCCCTCGCACTCCTCCCAAACCTTGTGAAACCGTCCCATTCCTCCCCACTCCTCCGCACACCTCCCGAAAGAGACCTCCGCAACCCTCCCATTCCTCCACGCCCTTCCGCACTCCTCCCGACACCTTCGCAACCCTTTCATCCTTCCACATCCCTCCGCACTCCTCCCAAACCTTCTGCAACCGCCCCATTCCTCCCCACCCCTTCCGCACTCCTCCCGAAAGAGATTTCCTCCACCATCCCATTCCTCCCCACCCATCCGCACTCCCCCCGAAACCTCCGCAACCCTCCCAGTCCCCCCCACGCCTCCGCACTCCTTCCTCACCTCCCACAACCGTCCCATTTCCCCTCAACCCTCCGCACTCCTCCCTATCCTGTGGGGTTCTCCCATTCCTCCAGACCCTTCCGCACTCCTCCTGAAACGTCTCACCCCTTGCCCCAGCGTCTTACGCCCAGGAGCGGAACCTCCATCTTCCTCCTATTCCTTCTCCTCGTTCTCCTCCCCCCCTCCTCCCTCCTGTTCCTCATTCCTCCTTGAGGGTGATGATGATGATGATGTGATGATGATGATGATGATGATGATGTGATGATGGTGATGATGATGATGATGATGATGATGATGATGATGATGATGATGATGATGATGGTGGAGATGATGCCGCCGATGAGGGCGATTATGATTGTAATGCTGACGTTTGTGGCATCTGTACAGTCTCCTCCTCTCCCTCCTCCCTACTCCCACTTGAAAAACAAGATGGGGGACCGTACATGGACATTATATTCGAACCTGTGGCCCAAGATGCCCCCCCGAACCCCCGAATTTAATATTGATGGCGTGGCGACGGGGGGGGCGTGAGTGGACAGAAATATTCGAACCCCAAAGCACCGCCTTTGCTGAGATCAACATTGATGTCGGGGGCGCGGGGGTGATTCAGAATCTCCCTCGAATGTGTGAGGGTTCGAATATATTGTCCATCTACTGTCCATGGCAAGGTTTGTGTAGTTCTGCACATTGCTCAAAGCGACCCTCATAAATCCAAGATCCCATGACTTGGGGGAGAAGGTGGAGGAGGAAGCGAAGGATGAGGAGGATAAGGATCAGGATGAGGAGGAAGAGGAGGATGGGGATGAGGATGAGGATGCGGAGGACCAGGAACAGTAGTGAGAGACAGGAGGAATGAGAAGGATGAGGATGGGAGGTGGTGGGGAGGAGGATCAAGCGGTGGAGCGTGGAGGATTTCTAAGCAGGTGCGGGAGGAGTGAATCAGAGGAGGCAGGGACGAAGAGGCGATGGGAGGGGAAGAGAGGGCATGGGGAGGAGGGGAGGGGAGGGGAAGGGAACGGGGAGGGGAGGGGATCGGAGGGGGCCGAAAGAGGGATGGAAGGAGACGGTCCTGTGAAGGGCTGCCTTGGGCCGTCCTGGAGGCCTCGGAGGCCCCATGGATTACCGGAGCTGCGGGAAGTTCGATTTTGCCTGCCCAGGGTTACATGTTGCTGTCGTCCCACCGTCCACAACAGACATCGGGTGCATTATCGAAAGCTGGAGACGGTCCTGTGGAGGGCTGCCTTGAGCCATCCTGAGGCCTCCGAGGCCCCATCGTTCCCCAGGCTGCGAAAGGGTCGGTTTATTCCTACCCAGGGTGATATAGTCAGCGCATACACATGATTGCGATTTTTTCTCTGCACATGCTGTTCCTTCGTTCGCCGTCCTTGGGTCCTGGGTTACCACGCTCCCTTCATCGTCGCCATGGCAGATGGATAGGCGCTTGCTCGTGATATTGATGGGGGCGTTGTCTGGTAGGCTTTCAGGAAAGCAGCTGGCGAGGCAGCCAACAAGGCAGCCAACGAAGCAGCCTACGAGGCACCCAGCGAGGCGGCCAACGAGGCCTCCGACGAGGCAGCCCGCGGGGCAGCCAAAAAAACAGCCGTCGAGGCAACTGGCGAAGCAGCCAGCGAGGCGGCCAACGAGGTAGCCCACGAGGCACGAGGCAGCCAACGAGGTAGCCCACGAGGCAGCCAGCCAGGCAGCGAGGCGGTCGACAGGGCAGCCAGCAAGGCAACCAACGAGGCTACCGACACAGCACCCGGCAAGGCAACCAACGAGGCAGCCAACGAGACAACCAACGAGGCAGCCAACGAGACAGCCAACAAAGCAGCCAACGAGGCAGCCAGAGGCAGCCACGGCAGCCAACAGGCAGCCGAGCAGGCAGGCCACCAGGAACCAGGCAGCCAACGATACAGCCACAGGGCAGCCGACGAAGCAGCAGCGAGGGGGGATCCCAAAATGGATCCCCCTTGCGCACCTGCGCGCGCATGTCGCGCAGATCTAGACCATTTTCACGGACAGAAGCCACCCGAACCTATGGCGCTACTAATGGAGAAAAAAAAGGCATCCGAGATATAGGATGCCCTCGCTCACTGGACTGCATCCATTTTCAGGATGCCCCCGTTGGAAGGATGACCGCAGCTTTTTCTGGACCGAGCGCATTTGGCCCGTCGTTGTCTCCACAGCCGGAGAATGTCGCCGAAATCCTTCACTCATGTATCTGCCGACGAGCACGTCGCAATGCGCCGCTTGCATGACAGCGGCATGGCGTCAAGATGGGAAATCGCCGTGGCCCTTGATCGCTCCACGGACACCTTCTTTTCCACTTGTTCAAAAAGAACACGACCGATAAGTCCAAGGGCCGCCCGAAGCATTCCATCCGCACCCCAAAGGGTTTCTCGCTGCCCAGCGCGCTTACAAGAAGCTTCTGAAGTCCTCGGGCGGCACAAAGGAAGTGACGGCAGCCATGCTGAAGTCCGAGATGAAGTTGAAATGCGACATCAAGACAGTGCGCCGCGCGTTTGCTGAGAATGGCTTCCAGTTCCGCCCGCTGTACGAGAAGCCTGACCTTTGTGATGGGGACAAGAAGGAGCGCCTGCAGTGGGCCCGCGAGCACAAGCACCGGAGCCCCAGCCAGTGGTCACAGTACGTCCACGCGTGCATGGACAACAAGGTGTTCCAGGTGCTGCCCAATGCGAAGTACAGGAAGGTGGCGGCAAATCGCAAGGTTCGCGGGGTGTACAGGAAGCGCAAGCGGGACTTCTCCGTGGGCCACGTCAAGCCGAGCAACCCTAAGGTTCTCGGGCTGGCGCAAATCGGAGACCGCGCCGCGGCCACTCAGCGCCAGGCCAGTGACCGACGGCGCGCTCTGATTTGGCTCGCCCCCAGGTTCTGAAGCAGAGTTCGGGCAAGGGATCCGTGACCATCGCGTGCGCCATCGGCGCGGGCAAGGTGTTGATGTGGCACCAGGTGGTCGGCAGGTGGAACGCCGCAGCCGCGGGGCGAATGTACTCGGGGGCGCTCCAGCCCGCTTTGAAGAGGGCCTACCCTTCCGTGCGCGGCAAGTTCCGCGTCATGGAAGACACCGACCCCACGGGCTACAAATCTCGCTCGGGCATGGTGGCGAAGAAGTCCGCTGGCATCCAGACGTTGGACTTGCCGAAGCGGTCCCCTGATCTGATGCCGCTTGATTTCGCCTTCTGGGCCAATCTGAACAAGCGCATGAGGGGCAGGAGAAGGACTGGCCCGCGAGCAAGACGGAGACGCGGGCGCAGTACCTGGCCCGGCTGCGCCGCACGGCGTTGGCGACGCCTTCTGAGTACATCCGCAGCATCGTGGGCAGCCTGCATCAGCGCTGCGGCTTGCTGGTCGAGGCGAAGGGCGGCCGCTTCGCCAGGGGCGGCGGGCAACCGCGGCGCAGCCCGCAGCGGGCCGGGACGGCGGGCGGCCCGTAGCTGCCCGTGCCTCGGTTGCCCCGCGCGAGCGACATGGGGCGCGGGAAGGGGGCCAGCCGCGGTCCACGATCAAGACCAATCCGCGCGTCCACCGCCCCTGCGGCTGCAGGGCCAGCAGGGCTGCTGAAGTGCTTATCTTCGCATTATGATTCTGTCCGCCGAGGCCCCCCAGGCGCCAGCGCCCTGGCGACCCCAGAGAGCCGCGCGCGCGATACATGCAGCAAACGCATAGTGAACCAACCGTGAACCAACAGTGAACCTTCGTAAGAACCACAGTGAACCTCCAATTCGATTAAAAAGAATACGGAACTTCTTTCTTACAGAGATCGAGGTTCACGATGTAATTTGCCATTGTTCACTGGTGGCTCACTGATGGCTCACTGTAGGTTTAGCGCGGTTGTTTTATGCGTGTTTGCACATGTCCAACCATGCCGCGCGAGCGGCATCTATGGCTATGGCCAGGGTCCGCCGGCCCCGCCCAGAGGTGCAGGGGGTGCGCCGCGGGGGCCAGGTGCGCCAAGCGCGCCGCGTGCGACAGGTGCGCGGAGCGCGACAGGTGGGCCACGTGCGCCAGGTGAATACGGCGCGCCCAAGTGCGACAGGCGCGCGGATGACGCCAGGTGCAACGAGCTCTCCAACTGAGCGGCCAGGCGAAGGTGCACGATGCCCCCGGAGACAACGACGGTCCGCAGTTATGCTCTGTAGCCTGTCGGCTCAGCGGGGCGGGGGCTCGCCCTGGCCCGGTCGCGCCCGGGGATGGCGCTCTCGGTGGACAGGCCAGAGAAGCGCCGCGCGCAGGCTCGTGGGGAAGCAGAGCCAGCAGACGGCGCTCCTCGAGCAGGTCGTCGGCGAGGAGAACAGGAACGCCTCGCGGGAGGTCCACTTGGCGACTCTGCCGCACACGGACAAGGAAGGCCTCAAAGCGCCAGCGGCTTGCTCGCGGGAAGGGGTTCGCGACGCTTTCCTGGACTGCTGCGGCGCCCCGGGCGCCGACCCCGCGCGGCTCTCAATCCACCGCGGGCAGGTGGCCGCGCCCTGTCGGGGTCGAGAAAAGCTGGTGGTATTCAGAAATACACGCGCCA